CTAAGAGATCGAGTATTTCTGTAACGCTGCTGTGAAGCTTTTTCTTTATTGGGTTCACGAGAAAATTAGAAGGTGCTGCCCACAGCTGGTGAGGATGGCAAACCTCAGGATGGAGTGCCTCGAACAGTTCTTGTTACTGTTGCAGGCTTAGGTGGTTGTGGTTGCCCGTGGCTGCTCAGGCATATCTGTCTCCTTGCAGCCATGCCAGGCGCTACATAGAAATTTAGCTCCAATGTTGACAAAGCACTGTTGACACAGTGTGTGCTGCCATTCAGACTAGGTCAGTTTGAAAGCAGTAGCTCAGATGCAGAGAACTGGTATTAACAGTGCATTGAAGCCTGGTCTTGTTGACCTGTAAAGACAGAAAGGGAGTGGGAAACATCAACGGCTTAGATCTCACAGCTCTCCCGTGCCCGTGTATCTGACCAGTCTTCTTAAGTAAAAGTTATTGCTGCTATCAGCTAATCCTCTTGTGTTTGATTACGTCTTGTTTTGGTTCCTTTTTCTTGTGTTCTTATGCAGTCTGCCTGTTCTATTTGTATGGCTTTTCTGCTTGGAAAGAAAGATGTGGGAAAGTGCAAATATTGGAAAGGTTCTGTATTAAAAGCTTAGTACTATGTTTTAACTGTGTTGCTTCTGTATACAGTTTGGAAAGAACTGGAATCTCTTCCGTGCAGCATCTGGGCTTACTGGCAGTTTACTGTAAGCAGGCCTGTACATTTACACCGTGCTAGGTGCTCTGCAGTAGTTCTTAGTGCACGTGAGCTTAGGAAAACAATTCTCATTTTAAAAAAGTGCAGTTTAATTTGTGGATTATACTGTGTTTAAATTGTTATTTGAATAATTGTCTTGAAATTTACATGTCTGTAATTTGATTTTAGTTTCTTTTATTCTGTACTGTGTGCGGGAGAGCTGTTTTTGAGTTGTTGGTGTGTCTTTGGGTATTATGTGGTCTAGAGCTGCCTGATGATACTTCAACATGTTACAGTTATTAAATATAATGTATTTGGTACATATAAAAATGCTCATAGTCCTTAAGCTACTTGCTATTGTTAACCTGAGTATTTGTAAAGCTCACCTGTTTTGAAGACTTGCACCCTGAGACCGTGCTGTACAGTTTCTTTTTATCTGGCATAGATCTCTTCCTCTGAAACTGCCAGTTTTTCATTCTCCTCTCTCTGGTTTGTTCTTTTTTTTTCATTGATAGTAGTATTCATGTCCTTGCTTGGACAGTGAACCACCTGAAGACTTCGTATGCGTGTTGTGGTGGTGGTTTACCAGGTGTTCAGTTTTGTTCCTGCAGTGTGTGCTGTGGGTGTGGTTTGTGTGTGTGTTGGAGAGTGGGAGTGTTTTTGCCATGGAGTGGAGTGTAGGATATCACATCTCATGTAGTTTAAGACACCACCACTTCCAAAACGAGACGGTCTTGTCTTCTTCCTGTGGTGGACACTCCTGTTCCCTCCCTTATATTGGCATTACTGGTGATGTGGCAGTGGTGTGAGTTGGACCTACCTTTGCTCTGGACCAAAGCAGTGCAGTGCTGGTTTCCAGTAGGATCAAACAAGTGTGAGGGTTATTGCTGATACAAGGGGAGGAGAAAAGTATATCTAGATGCAGTGGCTGGTAACTAAGAGAGTAGCAGCTTGGATTTGGATCACCTTTGAGCATGAAACTACCTCCTGAGTTTTAGCTGGTTTAGTGTTGATGCAGCTATATGGTAGCCTTGTGTGCCAGGAATGGCAGGCAGGAGGAGATGTGGCGCTACCCTGCGGCCGTAGCTCCGCTACGTGGGAGGTTGAAAGTGTCTTTGTAACCGTGACCTTGGGGATATGCTTGCTGAACCTGCTCACCTCTTCTGAAGTGCCAAAACTACCATTTCTATAGGCTATGTCTTACTACATTTCCATATCCAGTAACAGTGTATGTTATGTATTTATATATTAATGTAGGTATCTTGTGCAAGGTGGGTGTTGTACAATTTAATGACTGCTTGCTTACTCGAGTCTTTGTGTTTGCTCTGCTACAAACATCTCAATTAGGGCTTTTGATTATTTTTTTTCCAGAGTGACTGTTTCTCTAGGCTGTTCTGAAATGCTCTAACACAAAATAAGCAAAAAGAAGGCAAGTGCATTTTAAAAGCAATCACCAGCTGTGGGCAGCACCTTCTAATTTTCTCCTGATCCCAATACAGAAAAAGCTTCACAGCCCCCATCTTCTCCCCCCCAAAAAACCCCCTTTTTTATTATTTTGAAGCATATCCTTCGAATTGACTTTTACAATGATTGTGATATCTTAGTTGTGTCTAAATCAGTATACATAATGTACTTTATCTGGTTTTGATATGGAAATTATTTTATAGGGTAGCTCTGATTTTTTTTTCAAATTCTTGTTAAAATTTATGCACACTTTAAAAATTGAGAAAACTAAGCAAAATGAGTTTAGATGTTAATGAAACATGCTGCTCTGTCTGTTGCATACTGTGATGGAAATGGCAGTTCTTACATTACTTTCACAAGAAATGAGATGTTCCCACTTGCATCACAATCCAGAAAGCTACAGTTTTTATGTGTATGAATAATTTTCACAGGTGTCTGGTAAACAATTGATAGAGAGTCCTGCGTGAGTGAAGATAGTGAGCTAGACTGCTTTGTGGCAGCTAGCTTTCGAGCTGATGCAATTGACTTTTAAGATGTTGAAATTTATAAGTGCTTATAATTGTAGCGAGATGGGGAGGAGGATCTTTAGCGATGTTTGTAACTGAACTTTTTTAAACATAGGATTTTTTTTTTTAACCACCCACTGATACTCAAGATTGTTTCCTATTTGTGCTCCAGGGAATTTCCACAAGACTTACAACTGTAAGTCTGCTTTGCTCTCCTGTGTTAGAAGCGAGGCCATGGCTGTTCTGGCAGCTTTGGTTTCAAGCAGAATCTTCTCCTGTTTTGTTGTCCCCATCCTCATTTTGGACTTGTGTGAAAAAGCTTGAAAATAGCCAATTTAAAATGCAGACAAAGCTTATGTTATTTTTTTAAGGAACTACTTCAAAGAATGGAGAGAACTGGGAAAAAGATAATGAGTTCCGACTACTAAGGCTGTGTGTTTTCTTAGAATATGACATACGTGAAGAGTTACTCATTCTTCTTTTTCCCTGCCTCCCTGTATATCATTCTTCCGTTTGTGGTTGTTTCAAGGCCTCTGTCTAACCTTTCCTTTTGTCACTCATTCTGTGTAGCTTTTGTCTTGTTTTTCTTTCTGCTAAATGTCAGAATGACCCCATTTCCACATGCAATAGTGAGATATATAAATGACTTGACATTTATTAATATTAAGTCTCTGTTGAGAGAGAAAGAGGAGACTTGCATGTGCAGAAACTGTGATTTACATGCTTTCTGTTTGTGTTGCTGGTCATTAGCCTAACTGAAGCTCAGACTTTAAATGTTCATATGTCAGAAGAGCTAATGCTGGATCCGCTGGTGTCCTTTGCTTGTACCTGATAAGTTTGAACTGTACAAGCTTAAAGACACCCACACTAAAGCGAGGAGTTTACCCTCAAAGTGCTTCTGGATGTGTACTTGAAATTAATTTAGGCGTACTATAGATGAGCTGACTTGAGTGCAAATTCAGGTCTTGTTAGACTGGGTACGTACAAAAAAATAGAGGCAAAAATCTGTATTTGGTTGTATGAATGGAGTCTCTAGCAAGGAGACTTAACCTTTTGTTTTTCCAGCCTGACAGGGAGGCGCTGGAAGCATTGTAGCCTGCGTGTAGGGTGTATTAGATGTCCCCAACTGACTTGGAAGAAACTTTTTTTTTTCTTTCCATGTATAACTAAAACTTCCCTTGCTCTCTGAGAATGCATTAGATTTATAGGTTGTTAAAGTTGCAGATTGAAACTCTACTGATTTCAGTTTAAAAGCTGTATCTCTGTGGAGTTACTTCATAGTAGATGAGAATGGCTATTGATGGATGCTCTTACTGTAGGAGAACCTGTTTGTAGCCTTTATAAAGCCCACTGAAAAAGTATTGATCAGATAATGAAGTGCTTTTTTGTAGGAATAGACATATGCATATGGCATTAACTAGGAATAGCTGTTTCCATTTAAATTCGTGTTCTTCCTTGCATTTGAAAATTGATTCATATTTGGTAATTTTTTTTGTTGTTCTTGCTTTCTTTGGCTAAAGGAAAGTTACAAAATTCAGGATAACTGAAACAGGACTTGAAAGTTGTGGTCTACAGACCTGTAAGGTATATGAGATTTAGACATGGATACCTCTTGTATTTTTGACTGAATGTTAGGAGTCTTAATGTGGTGGCACAGGGTAAGAAGTACTTGGGTTTGTCTATGCAGTAATTACGGACACTTTTGCTTTTTAACCAGTCTGTGTTACGGACTTGTAGAACAGTACCTGTGTGATACATCATACAAATAGTCACGTCTGGCAGAGAGTGCTAGGCTAGGCAGTACACAGTGTGGATGCTTTCTTCACACAGCTGGGTTTCAGAGGCTTGCTCTAAGAGTCAGAGGTTCTGTATAGGAAAGTAGGTAATGATGCCATTAGTACTGCTGATGACTGCAGTCACACGTCTGTTCTGGGGAAAGCGTACTCAGCAGTATGTCATGAAGAGAGCCTGCCCTTGGGAAAATGTTTCTTAAATGCTTTTGTATTTCAGTAGTGCTGGAAGTACTGCATTAAATGTGTGTTTGAACTAGACTGATGTGGGTTCTCAGCCTGTGGTCCCTGTGCACACTGGTTATAAATGGAAACCAGGAAGGCATGTAGTCCTGTCTGGTTAGGGCAAAGAGACACAAGCGTGGGCAGATTGTGTAACTCCTCTTTATATTTAGATAATCAGGATGATATGAAGTTGTCATGTCACAGATGCTGTAAGGATGAGTTAATGAAGCTTGGTTGCTGCAAGGGTGTTAGCATGACCTATAACAGCTGTAAGACCTGGTTATGCTCAAGTCCTGATACTGATCTTTATTTTCCTCAAGGTGTGTTTCGACTGTGGAGCCAAAAACCCCAGCTGGGCAAGCATAACATATGGAGTTTTTCTCTGTATTGATTGTTCAGGGACCCATCGATCACTTGGTGTTCACTTGAGTTTCATTCGGTAAGTAATGTGTTTATCTTTATAGTAAAAATTGCGCCTTTTAGTGTTTTTGTTTGTTTGCTCAGATACCTGCTTAGAAAGGAAAAGCCATTCTTCTCTCACCTACTGATTCAGACCTTTTAAATGTTTGTAATGGCTTTGATGTGTCTGATAGCTGCTTGGGAATTAGGTAAATAGGTATGGTTTAGTAGAATTTGTACCATGCACCTATTCCCATTAGCTGCCTGTTGTGTTAGTAGTGCACATTGGTTGGCAGATTTGTTTCTACATTGAAGATGATGAAAATGACGAACAGAGTAAGCATGCTGAAGTGTTCTAGCAGTTCTCCAAATGAAGACTGAGGCAAATATTAATTTCTTATCTTCAACAATGTTGCAGTGTGGTGCTCATGAAGATAATCTGACCCCCTAGTAAGTCAGTTTAGAAAGCTAAACAGCATTTTGCCAGCTTTGCTTCCCAAAGTAGTTCATTGTGGTGTCATCCAAGTGATAGTGCTGGGTAGTGTAAAGGGCTATCCCTTTTGACAGCTATTTAGCTCCATCCATCAGGTGGTGCAGTAAATCTGCACCCTGAGCTTGTCAGATTTCAGGTGAGCATCCTAACTGATGGCCTGTGGGCCTTTTTGTCCTAATAAATAATTACATATTTGAAATGTAAGGCTCTGCTTGAAGTGAGTGAGAACAGTGCATCCAAAAACAGATTGCAGGTAAAAGCAGCTGTTTTCTATCAATTAAAATTCACCCTCTGCAGCCTTTCTGCTATATAGAAGAGCATGACAGGAGGCCTCTCAAGAATCCATTTTTAATGATCACAGTATTAACTCTTCTCATACTCAATGAGTTTATTTTTTTTTTTTGTAATATGACACTTGAATTGTCACTTTGTTTGTTACATGTGATTGTCATCTGCTGTTGATGGAGTTCAAATGTGATTCCTGAAAATGTGTTGTATTGGTGGTTTTTTAAAGGGAAAACCTGTTAGCCAGAGGATGCTTTTTTTTTTCTCAAGCTTTTACAGCTTGAAAAACTGTGGCAGTTCTACATGGCTTTATTAATTTGTTTTGCACATCATGTATTGTTGCAGATTTTCTTTTGTATATATATGCATGTTTTTCACTTTACAAAAAAAAAGTGGGGGAGAAGAGGAACACTTTACAAAAAAAAGTAGATTTTTAAATGGCTTTGGAGTTAACATTAAGAATGTTTCCTTCTGTTTAGATCTACAGAACTGGATTCCAATTGGTCTTGGTTTCAGCTGAGATGCATGCAAGTTGGAGGAAATGCAAATGCTGTATGTAATCCTGAGTATTTGCTTTGCACATTGAAGCTTGTTAGGGTTGGAAGCTTTTGTCTGTCCTTATTGGCTTACAGCTTGGCGTTATTTTTATTTTTCCGGTCCACTTATCTTTTTTTTTTCCTCTTGTTTTTAAGAATTCCTTTGAATGCTGATTTCATCTTCCATGCTTCTTGCAACTTTTCCATCTTGATATAATCTGCAAATGTTTTATTTTTTCTTACAAGTTATTAATAAAAATCACTGAAAAGGCCAGATCGGATTCCTTGTCAATACATGTCTAATTTAACAGGGAACCATTGACAGATGCTGAAAGACTGCTTTACAACAGCTTGTAAACCTAGCTTATGGGCATCTTGCTGTTACTGTGTTTCCTTGCCTGGTTTATGAAAATATCATGCCAAAAATCATGTCCCTATCAAAAGTCACACTGAAGTCAAGATCATACTTAATACCTGAGGTGCAACTGAAGTCAAGACATGCTACACTGTCAGAGAGGAAAGAGCAGTGTTTTGGTTTGGGCCAATTCATATTGGATATTACTTCCAACTTGATTTTTTATGTACTCACAAATAAGTTTGTTACACAATATTTTTGTAAATTGAAGTTATGTTGACTTATGTATTGTTCTTGGTCTCCTTTTTAAAAGAGGAGGTTTTCCTTTGCCAACTCTTTCAGAATCTTGCTTGTTTTCCCATGTATTTTCAAAGATTGACCACCAGTAATGGAGATTGCTTCCCTAAGTTGACCCACCCAGTGTGGAAGCATTCTACTTCCCTAAGCAATTCTACTTTTCTTTTAATTGCCTGAATGCTTACCCCTTATCTTTCTTCATTTGTGCCTTGTCCTTAATGTTGTTTCTTTCAGAAACTTCACTCAAACTTGCTTTCCATGGGCTTTTTCTTAAAAAAAAAAAATTCTTAACAATCTGCTTTTATTGTCTTACACTTTAATATTCTGCTGTTTCGTCTACTTTTTCCCTATTTCCAAACAAAAAATGATGAATTCAGGATCATTATTATCTCTCTTACACTTCTGTGTTTTCCAGTCAAACCCTTTTTATTGAATTATGCATTCAGCAGATCACTGTCTCTGGCTTACAATTCTGAGCAGATGCGTGATGTCTTGTCCCTCTTTTTCTTGCCTATCCTTTCTAAGTTACACCTTTCTGGATTAATACTGCTATTATATGAATTTACTCATTGAGTTTCTGGTATGCCACTTAGTACATAAAAATCACAGTTTTGACTAATCAGAAGAGGGAGATTTTTGCATGAAAAATACTTTCTTTTTTAGCCAAAGACTTAAAAGCTTTGGTTAAACTATATAAACTTTGTTATACAAAGGGTTAATGGCAGTTGGAAAGAAAAGATGTCAAAGTTTGAAAAAGTGCTTCAGTTAATCTTAGAAAGCAGGAGAATAACAATAAACCTTTATTTTATGAGTTTTTGTCTTTCTGCTTGGATGTCACTGTTTCCTATCATACACTGTACCAAGAGGTGTAATATATCCATAGCCACCCCTCAAATACCTCAACTTCACAATGGCCTGTTTTGGATTACCAAGGGAGATTAATACGTGAAACTTCAAAGACAAGTTTACTAAACTGTCTGGACAACTTAAAAAGTAAAATTAACATTTTTCTCATAATTGCATTTAAAAAAAAAAATCCTCATTTTGTTCCAGTTAAATGCCACATTCTGTTTTTACCGACTACTGTTAAGAAGCACTATCAGATTAACATTAATAATTTGTATTCTGTGATTGCCTGATGATGCTGAATCTTGGATAACAGCAGTCCTGAGTGTCATAGCTATGTATCGGATTGCTAGAAAATCTAGTGTCTTCTTAATTACTTTTGTAATAAGGAACCTCTATGTTTATTTTTGTGATAAACCTCTATAATGTGCGGAATTAGAGTTTACAGAAAAGACATTCTGAATATTAAGTTCATAGGTGTATATATTTAAATGCAAAAATGCACAGCCTTTTTGGCATCTGTGATGTTTTCAACCATTTCTGTTTTAATCACAGAAGCTGACTGGCATTATCTCCCTCCTTGTTGTTGCTTAATTCTTATACAGAGTCTGGTACTTGTATACAAGATTTGTGCTTTGCCATTGCAGCATATAAGGTCATAACCTTAGGTTATCTAGACTTGCTGATCCTATCAGAAACTTGTTTATTATGTTTTACGGTAACAGTCTGACGTGTTCTTCCGTGCAAGAATGTATGATGCGATTTGCTAGTCAATTCTAGGTACTGAGAATTTTTTTTTAATCTTTCAGACTGCTTGTCAAACTCATATAAATGTATTGATTTGCTTTTGTTTCAAGATCTTGTATCAGAATTTTTCATTTTTATATTTATATTTATCTACACACGCATGTAAACATGTACGTGTACATATATATGTGCGTACACACACTTTTCTTTTGATAGGAGACGATTTCTGTACAGTCCTTTTGATGCTATTGAACATACATTGTTCTCTCTAGCATGCTAGACATGAAGCCAAGCAATGCATTTCAGAATATCAAGAATGTCCTTTGAAGCACAGGTATTCGCAGTCAATTTTACCTTCTCCTCCTTTCTGCACTTAATGGCGATCTTGCATTTGTATATGTTTTTAAAACATCCCACTAATGTATTTGTTTTTTCTGTTGTTCTATTTATATGTAAATAGGTTACCAAGATGGAGTTTTCTTTTTATTTTGGAGATCTACATGGACTTCATAATTTAAAAGATTAGGTTTAAGTAGAGGAGCAGAGTATTTTGCTGCATTGTGGTATATTTCTATATTAAATGGCATTGGTTTTTAAGCCTGTTTCTCATGGCGTTTTCTGTGTTCTCCTTCATAGTCTGCTTTTTTCCATCAACATGGATGCACAACAAATGATACCAACGCAAAATATAACAGTCGTGGTGCTCAGCTTTACAAGGAGAAGATTAAATCTCTTGCAACACAGGCAACAAGAAAGCATGGTACTGATGTGAGTAGTGTGTCCTGTGTCATTAAGAATTCTGAAGAACTGTATCTTCTTTCAGCCTAGAGTTATTTAAAGTTCATAATTAGTAATGCAAAAGATTTTCTGTTTTTGGGAGGTACTGACACACATTATGATGAGTAGGCAAGCTGGAGAGTAAACTGTTTGTAGCTTACCTTTTTTGTTTGGAAAAAGAATATTGAAATAGAGCTCGACTAGGTATTTCAGGGTCATTTCTGGGTTATTCAAAACATTAATTATAACATTTGCAGAAACTTAAGCATTCTAGGCAGAAACTTCAGATTTTCTTCAAAATGGAAGCTTCTTTGCAGCTGTGCTCCATAATTATATTAGTGGTATTGCATAACAAAAACGCTAGCACTTCTCTGTGAACTAGGTAGTGTTTTTATTTTTGCTTATCTGGAACTGAATTATTGTTGAGAAGTACAGCATGTAAAAATGCTATTAGAATTAACTACAAAGTATTTGTGAGTTAAGTGGGATTTAGTTTGAACAGTTCAATGTGTGGATTTGCTTTTTTCCCCAACAAAAATAATGTTTGAAAAATCAGCAAGTTACATATGTCTTGAACTTGCTGTTCTCCATTAAAAAAGCTGAAATAGGTTGTGCGTGCTCTCAGAACATTGTTAGGTTGCTGACAGGAAGATGTCATTAGCAAAGTATGCAGACTTAGTTTTCTGAGGTGTTAAATGTTTGACAGCAGTTCTGTTCTGCATACACAGAAAGCGTGTTTTGATTCTTGAATTCAGCTTATTGAAGTCTGTGATTCATTTGGAGTTGATCAGATAAGTGGGAATTAAAAGAAAAACAATAACATGGGATTTTTTTTCTAATCTGTGTATCATGTAGCTTGAAATTTAGTGGATTATAATTATTCCATATTATAAATGTTATAGACGATATAATTAACATCAGTAACTTCAGAGAATATTTCTTTTGACTTGCTAAACAGCTTTAGATGTAAAACACGTTCAAGTAAATATATAAATATATAATTATATATATAATATATACCATGTGCATTTAAGTTGATGGCAAGTTCCCCACATGACACTTTGAAGAACTGTGATTATCTTACTTCAATTACAGATTCCACCCAATTATTTGATATTAATTATGTATTTCTTATTTTAAAATACTGGTAAATATATTTTTTAATTATGTACTACAAGCTTAAATGATTATGTGCTATGTAAACTGCTGAAGTAAATTATTTAGATAATTAGATTTATTACCAACCATCCCCTCCCTTGTCACATTTTAAAGAATTTATTCTGTAACTTACTGATAAGAGTCATTGTTGAATGATGAGGTAAGTTTGTTGTACATTCAGTAGCCTTTTGGACAAAGGTCATTACTTTTGATCATGTATCTTTTGCACGTAGTAGAAAGAACAATGAGAAATTATTTGCCTGTGAGTAACCTTGGAGTGCAAATCATAGGTTATAGTCCTGTCCTGCATGATGCTAATAATGACCTGTGGGACGGTGGGCCCTCCAGCTCACCCCGAGATCAGGCATTGCTCAAAGCTGTTAGCATCTTGCAAAACTGCTTTAACTTTGGAGAAGGTTTTGGGACTCTCAGACTACGTGATGGGAGTACAAGACCACACAGATACAGTTCTGAATACTGTTTCCAATGACTGCTAGTCTTATGTTTTCAAGTTGTTTTTTTCCCTTTGGGCAAAAAAAAATAATTAGAGAGAAAATACCTTATATGAGAATATTAAAAAAACCCACCTTACTTACTATAAAGCTCTAGTGATACTAAATATTGACAGTATTACTGTAGCACAGCTTGCACTGAACAATTTGTTAGGAAGGAAATGCATAATGTGAAGGAACACATCAAAGATGTATGAAAAAAAAGAGAAATGTCATATATTGAAGCTCAGATAAATTTGTAAGGAAAAATTATGTACCAGGAAAAAAATCTAAAAAGCAATTTTAAGATTAATGCATTTGAAAAAAAATATATTAATGCAGTTGACTTGTAAAATTCTCTCACTGTCTTAATTCTAGCTGTGGACAGATGGATGTGGAGTGCCACCTGTGTCACCTCAAAACAAAGAGGAAGACTTTTTTGCATCCCATGTTTCTCCCAAGGTATAGATCACCTGCATTTCATTCTTGTTAGCTTTCTAAACACTCAGGTTAATTGTGTGCTCTAGGATGAGTATTAAACCTTGAAAGAAAACCTTATAGAGAAAGGGTAGGTCAGTGAGGTAACATTTATTTGCTTTTTCTTTTGTGAGTCTTAGTTCTTTCTGAATGTGAACCACTTTCTAAGGTAATTTAGAATGACCCAAATAGCAGCTAAATGTGGAATGAAATTATGTTTTCTGTAGACATACAATCCCACTTCGATTCATGGTTCCTTGTTTGGGAGTGCTCTGCTTTCAATGTGATGACTTAGGGTTTTAATCAGTGAAGTCTTAACAGTTCTTAAAGCGTTTGCTGAGCAGAAGCTTTTCTTCTTCCTCCAAAATACTTACATCTCCTTCGAAAATGTTAAAGTAACTTTCTGAAAGCTATTGCTACTGTTGTTTTCAAGAAGGAACTTGATATAAACCCTCTGGAGAGAATGTATGGGCAGGATAGAGTAAATTTTCACAGCAAACTTTTCAAGTATCTGCAAAGGCAGAAGGTTATAGACAAGCAGTCTGTGCACCATAACCAAGAGATTATTTGGGTATGGATGTTTTGAAAGAGATGTCAGGCTGTTTTGAGATTGAGGTTTTAGGAAAGAATAAGCATGAACTGGCAGTGGCACAGCACTGGTGGAAAAGATACTACTAGTTGATACTGTTGTGACCAGGTTACAAACCTCCCTGTTGGGGAGGATGTGCCTGAGGGAAATGAGAGGACTAATCAGGAAGACCTGGGAGGACTGCTCACAGTCAAAAATTGTTAGAAAATTGGAAGTACAAGAGCTTAGTGTGGGGAGAAGGCTTGGTGATTATATGTACATAAATGATCCATATTTCCTCTACTGTATTACTGTTATAAGTAAAGACATTTAATAGCCAGCATGCAATAAATAAATCTAAAGCACATTTAAAATGCATATTTTTTGGGTTGTAAACGTACTGAAATTCCTGAAATCATTTGAAACCAGCTCACTTTTAATAAAGGTAGGCATTTCTTGTAGCTTTAATAAGCACCCTTCTGAGAACAGGTTTTAAACATAGAAGCTGTAGTCATAAGAATCCAATATTAACTATTCAGACATGTTTAGGCAGTCTTTGAGCTCAATGCTCATGTTTATTTGCTGTATTCTTGTTTGTGTGCACTCTTGATTTTGTGATTTATTTTTTTTTCAAGGCAAAGAATACAGAGTGTGTGTTATCAGAGCCAGAGCCAGTTTCACTGCAGCAGAAAACTTCAGAAAGTATTCCAGAATGCTATGAAGGTTTGACTGATTCCTTGTTAACAATAAGCTGCGTTTTTCTGGTAGTCTCTTTGTTTACCCTACTGTAATAATTAAACAATCTAACTATGCTAATAAGGCAAGAATTTTGGAGAAGGCCTTTTTTGAAGGATTATGATGGAATGTGTGGGACTATGTGTTCCTTTAATAATGTTTAGTATAAATCCCAATTAAAATTTAATTCAAAAGACTTTAGATGAATCTTTTGGTGTCTGCTGCTCTTTTAGTAACTGGTAAAGCTGTGATAGAAATAACATATTATGCTGTGTGTATCAAAGAGTACCCTGAGTACAGTGAGTTGTATTTTTGTGTTTTAAGCATTCTAAAGAGCCTTCTGATATTCTTACCCTCGTTATTCATTATGTTTTAGGACCAGAACACGGACCAAGTGTTGATTGCCTTAGTACATCACCAAAAGCTGCATTAGGTAATGAGCGTGAGCAGATTTCAGCCAGTATGGTGTACTTAAATACTCATTTTTACAGAGAATGTGTGACTGGGAAGAGGTGTGGAACTCTTACTTCAATATCAGTGTGCATGAGTTAGTTGAAACATCTGAATTTGTATTGCAACTTCTTCTGTTAAACTCTTTCTAAAAAATTAATTTTAGTCAGTGTTGTCCTGGTTTTATCTATCTTACCTTAGCTGACCTGATGAATTTAAATGCTGCAGGTACCACACCTAATAAAGGTGACCAATAATGTTTTACACTTCCTATTAGACTACTTTGAGTTCTGCATTTGAAGCACACAGGTGGAATAGAGCATTGCGCTGTGATTAATGGTCTGTTATTTATGTTGAGCAAACAAATGTCATACTAGTAGGTCAGTCTTTCTATCTAGACATAGTTTTTGCTCCCTTTTCAGAAAACCAAACATAAAAATTAAGTCTGGAAAAATCTTGTGTTTATTATACAATATCTTCAGTGTCCAGAGTCTTAATTTACTTACACTGAAGAGTGTGTGGTGGTATAACTAAGTTAAAAAAAAAAAGAAAATAATAGACTAGAATAAAATACATCAGTGATTTATTATTTTGAGGATCATCCCGCAGGAGCAGGTTTCTGAGAATATGGACTATTGATTCTCAGCAGCACAGGGGTAGTAAAGAAATGGTGGCTGGGACTGAGTCCTTCAGGAAGGTGTTGGTCTTCATCACTGCGCTTACATTCACTTGGTTGGGTTTTGTTATGTTTTAGATTTTTCTTTTTTTTTTTTTTTTGTGAGCTGGAGACTAGGAAAAATTAGTTACCTGCATACACTTCCTGTTTTTCTCATTTGTTTCTTTAACACGTGTTCTCATAAAACAAATGCTTTTCTTGTTTGTTTTGGACATTATGATTTCGATCTTACATGAAGAATCTCAGTTCTGTGTATGCCTGTTTCCAACTAAATCTCAGCTCGAACTAGGTTTGGGTTTTTTTGGTATGTACAAGCATTCAACAGGAGTTGTTGATTGAAGACAACTGACTATGGGGGATTTACCATGGCTCAGGGTAGCTGTCAAGAAGGCACAATACAGTAGTGAGTACTGTAGGGTCTCATTAAAAATATCAAGATTAGGAGTTGTGTCAGACTTTATGCAGAACAGAACGCAGGTTCAATTCTTTTCTGTGTTTCAAGATTTAATGCAAAGTAAGTCCCCCATTCTTGTTCTGTTCACTAGCAGGTTTCTAAAACTGAAAACTGAGCTGTAATTTTATTGTTGTTATGTATTTGCAAGAGATTCCACATCCTCAATCAGAGACAGTTTCTCAGATTTTCTTGGAGACACTCACAGCTCTGTTCCCTGTAACTCAGTTTAGTATCGCAGTCTCTCACTGCAGAAACTGTAATACTTCACGGCATTAAAATAAATTCTAGAAACTGTTCTGAGCCTGATATTGTGGAAATTATCTTCTGCAGTTCTGGAATTAATATTTTATGTCAAGTGATGTACATTTAATCCTTGCAGAGACTACCTTGATAAAAAAGAAGCCAAATCAAGCTAAGAAGGGGGTAAGTATATATAAATAATACATATTTTTATCTGTATTGTAGATCTCTGGATATACATAGGTTGCAATATGGAAATGTAACATGTAAGTTACCACTAAATAGTACTTGTTTCAGTAACAGTTTGTGAAACAAACAGAATTGAAAACCATTTCTCTATCAAGGCAGCAAATGGTCTGTTTGAAAACAGATTGTCGTTAAGACGAATTTTTCTAAAACAAGTTACTGTTGCTTCAGAACTGTTGGTAGTTTTGTGACCTAAGATAAATGCTGTCTGTTTTTCATGTATGTAGCTCACTGTACTGCCTAGACTTCCACATGTATATTTGAGTGTTATTTTCTTTGTGCTGTCTGGACCTGAACAGAAGGTGACACCTTTTCAAAAATTAGTAAAATAAAAATGTCAAAGCATATGTTGATGTTAAGGTCTGTATCCCACTTCAGTTCTTTTCACAACCGTACCTGCAACTCCACTGGTATCCTGTAACCTTTCTTCTCAGTTGCCGATACTGGGTTGCAGAGCTTCTTTGGGATTTCACTGAAGTTAGTTGGAATTGAGACCTTTTTGTAGCAAATCCTGAAAACAGAGGAAGTTCTGATAGCACTTTTGAGTGACTAAATATGCATGTGTGGCATAATCTGTCAATATAAGGTGAATTTGAGACGTTCAGATATGTATTTATAGAGCAGTTCTCATCTCTTGACACAGAGCAGTATGGTAGATAACACGCAGCTGCATTCAATTTCTGCACTTAGGCATATGAACTTTGTAAAGAAGGAATGAAGAGAGTTTTGTGTCTCAGAACATTGGTTCAAGGAAGCTGAAAACTGAGTTAGCTGAAGTTAGCTAGGAAAAGCTAGGTTTTGAATGTTTGGCTCCTGAGTCCCAAGAAAATAGTCCTAAGTTTAGACCATGAGTGTGACAATATATTACACAGAGTCACTTCTTTTAAGTCTGGGCTGTTGTATGGCAGAAGATTTTGAAGATTTATTGGAAAAGAGTCGTTTAGATTGAAACCTATTATTTCTTGATTCCGCTAGAGGGCCCTAATACACAAGAGGAATTTCTTATTCTAAGTGGTAAATGCAGATGTTCCCTCATAGTAAGAATAACATAATTGAGTTTACAGGTGCACATGCAGTTTGTGAACAGTAGTGACAAAGCCTAAAAGTATAGGTGCATAGGCCAGAGCTTTTAAATGAAGACTTTAAAGCATTAACAAGTTAAGATAAATGTATTATGAAAATTAATATTCCTGCAGTGTTTCAGATGAGGAATTAAACACACAGGAGACTAAAAACAGCAGTTTGAGTGCTGCGCAACCGTCTGAATCAGCATCATTGTGTCTATTCACATTTGTAGTGTTAAGTACCTTTTAAATCTTTGATAATCAGAATGAAAGAATATGTATCCCTGTATTGAAATAATATGAGTTAGAAATAGAATTATTTTAAAAGAATGAGTGCAAAACTGGAAGCTCTTTGCTGACATGTTTATCTGAAAAAAGTTTACAATGGTTTGTTACATGCAAAGGCTAATTGTGCATACACATACAGACAAAAATTTATATTGATCTGCTATCATAAATCAGTAAATACCTATGTACACGTTTATTAAAAATATGAATAAATCAATACTTAAGCTAACACACTAACACTAGCAGGTGAAAACTAATTCAAGAATTTTTGCCACTTCTAGATGTAAATTGTGAATTAAGTGAATGAGCACCAAATGGTTCAGTTGCAACAAATTTTATTATGTCATTCCTATGCAAAAAAATTCATTAGTAAGAAAGTAAAGTTGTGTTATATATTAATATTTATTTGAACATGCCAACTTCTGAACAATTAAAACTACAGTAGTTTCATTTCCCTATGATGCTTGACTGCAGAGCTAACTAAATTTGTAAGGGTTAGTAGAAGCAGCATGTATCAAAAAATGCTTTTTCTGCTCCAGATTTTCATTGCTGTTTTCATATGCTCCTGAACAGAGTGTGGTGTTTGCTGTTGCTTTCACAGTTGACTGTTAAGGCCATTGAGGTGATTGTCTCAGTTATAATGTTGAGGCTTTTGTTTTTTGTTTTTCCATAAATCAAGCTCGGTGCCAAAAAAGGTGGTTTGGGGGCACAGAAATTGAGCAGCCAAAGCTTTAATGAGATTGAAAAACAAGCACAAGCCGTAGATAAGATGAAGGAACAAGAAGATCTTCATAGCAGTAAGAAAATTGTGAAGGAAGAGCCACTGTAAGTATGAATTATATATACAATGGTAAAACATGAAGCATAATTTGATGTTCATGAAGTAATTGTCAACTTTTTAAATACTACCAGAGATTAGCTCATGGAAATAAAACTTCGGTTCTTGCTTTAAAAAAAAAAATCCCAGATGTGGATTAGGTGGACCAAGCAGTAATTCCCCCATTGCCCTTTTTTGATGTTAAGTGTATGTTTCCACAGTTGATGGTTTACTGTATAGAAATAGCCCAGTGCTGTCTTTAAAAATAACCTTAGTGTTATTCTTATTTAACACAAAAAATAAAGAGACATTCTACTGATACATATGAATAAAATGTGAAATAAATCTAAAATATGTTAAATTTAAGTATTACTGCAGAAGATTCTGGCCTCTTGAAATTTCTTTACCCCGTGCTAGTTACCTAGTTTATTTTTTTGGGCTGTAGTGGACTGAATGCAATTTAGAAGAGTCTTTTTAAGAGCATAGGGAGCACACAAATATTCAGCTTTATTTGTACCTACTGGGTAGGAGTTTCTATGCTGAAGGCAGCAAGTAGTTAAAGAATTGCCAGCTTAAGTTTCGGCTGTTATATGCTGGAACTGTCTTCATTTGCACCAAAACCTTTTGAATGTTTTTGTCTGAGGCCTTGAATCTATTAGTCCATCTTAATAAATACTCAGTGTAAAGCTCAGAGGGTGCTGTTTCTAGCTCCTTCCACTACATTTCTATGCTACATGTTTTTGGTTTTTAACATACTGTTAGTTCTCGTCAAGATTAGACTATTAGAGTTGGTTAGTGTACATTTTGACTGTTGTAAAGCTTAACATATTCTCCTAAGTTCTAAGATGCATAATTTTTATAATCTATTGAGAACTTTTCTGAATTATTACGTATTTATAGGATCACTTGGAGCTCGTGGTACCAAGCTTTTTTATAATCTCTTCCCTACTCCTTTTGATTACTTTTATGTAGCCTCTGCAGAAAAGCATGTTTTATGTGAATAGTGTCAAGAATACTAATCACAAGGGGATCATTCATTTTTCCTGAAGAATTTTTACCACAAAGTCATGCTTCTCAGTGATTGCCAAAAACTAACAGTATAGTGACTTGGAGGAATGGAGTACTAAATAACAAGAAAAATTATTGTTCATTATTATTTATTATTATTCTTTAATGATACTGTCTTTAATGATATAATTAAGTTTGGAAAAAAGTCCTAAGTAGTAATTATTTTTTTTCTGTCAGAAATGTATAAAACTATATAGATCGAAGTCAGCTTTTAGTACAACTTCACTGCAACCTTTCTGCAGTGGCCAGAACGCTCTAAAAATGTCTGCAAACATGAGGGGTGGACATACACCTCAGTTTAGGGATCCTATCCCAGTAGAGGCAAAAAAACTCTTTGTTTCCCTTGAGATTAACTTTTTGGATTTTTAACTGTAGGTGGCAGTATATACTAAAATTAAAAGAAGGATGGATACTTTTAAAATTGCATTTGCTTCCAACTAATTTGTGTGACGGTTTTAATTTTAAAAGCTTGACTAATGAACTTCAGTAAATTAATTCAGTGTGGCTTTGTTATATGGCAGGAATGGAAGCGATGCTTTTGTAGTCTAGTACTTAGAAGGAGAAAGAGTTCTGAGACTTAAAACATAAAACTTAAAATGTATCTTTATAGTTGGTATGCAGTTTCTTTCTTTTCTGCTGTGTGCTGACAAGACAATAGATAACTGGAGTTAATTTTTTATAAATGATCAGTATCTCTATTTACTTTAAGCAACAGCAAATAAGTTTTATTTTTTTTGTTCATAACACAAATTTCATAAGATGGGCTGCTAATCTTTCTACTTAGTCCTAGGTAGATTTTTATCCGTAGCAGTTTCAAGTTGAATTTTAGAGAATATTATTCAATTTTCTGTGTCACGGTTGGTCCTAAACTATAATAATTGATTTAAAATGTCCCTGAACATATTCTGTGCTTTGAAGATAGATTTTTCTGATTTCATTGGTTTCAAAAACCATTCCACAGATACATCCTGGTTTGTATCTGACTTCTATTGTTGTAAGCATCTGAACATAAGATGTCGTGATTTTTTTTAGTTCTGGCTCCGAGTCTTCTGAAAGCCCTGATCAAAGGATTCCTTATCATCACAAGGTTGAGATCTCTCTCTTCCTTTTTGAAATCAGTGGAGGAGTGATGTCCCATTCCTCATAGCAGGCTGGCACCTACACCCCTTGTCTGTGAAGAAAGATGAGTAGATGCTGTGCCCTTTTCATTCTAACAGGGTCAGCCACACAGCTCCTGTCTTGCACTAACCACCTTGTACTAACCACCAGGGTAGGAACTTTGATAGGGGCGTCTTGTACTCCAGGTTGAAATTAAGTCAGTATGCATGGGACCAGAAAAAAATCAAGCCAAGAAGAGTCTGTTTCAGGAATAAAATAGGAGACACACTGGAAGACAATATTCCTTGGTCAAAAACCTGTTTTCTTTTCATTCCTGTTTCTGCACGAAACAGATGGAAAGCTATAAGGATTTTCACACAGAGGTAATTCCTTCCTACTTGCAGCAGGGTGTCTACCAGCAGCATCCTAAATCTTCTTTACCTTTCTTCTGATAGCGTACTTGTATATTGTACTTTCAATAGTGTAGTTGTACGTTGTGCCAGTCACTACTTATGAATTAAAATATTGTTGCATTGCTCATTAAAATTACTATTGGTATCCCTTTTAACCTAAAAATTGAAATTTAAGTAGTGTTTCTACAATTCTGTAATCAAGGTTAAAAACCTCTGTCTCTGCTAAACTGATATTACTGGAAAATACTTAAATTTCTTTTGAAGTATAGGAAGGCTCATGGCATCTCAGAAAGGCAGCTTACTGTATCTTGAACTGTGAGGATGTTTCAGATGACGAACTGTGTTGCCAGCTGTGCAGAAAAATGATATGTTCTGGATGCTTCAAAGTTTCTATAATATAAAATATTTTGGGAGTACAAAGACTCTCTTCTCCCATCCTCTGAGATACCTTTTGGGGCACAAGGAAGAGCAGTATCAATCAATAGGGAAGCATGGTGTACCTCTAGCACTTGTCTCACGAGTGCATATATAGCAAGTGTTAAAACCACTGAGAGCACAAAGGGGATGAAGGGAGGGAGATGTAACAGGGCCAAGCTATGTATTAGGGGAAGACATTTTTAGGATTGTATTTTGAATGCCGCAGTACTCTAGTCTGTCTGAATTGGATAATTTTGACAGTTATTTGATATCCCATAGAATAAGGACTGTGGAAGAAAGACTTTTTCAGGTTTGCTTAATGATGATGCAAAGCTGTGTCCTGAACTTCAGCAGTAGCATATTTCACATTTGTTTTGAAAAAGACTACCTGCTCATACACAGACGGAGGTACCGGTTAGACAGTCTTCTCTACTGGCTTTCTTCCACCCTTATAGTTGGCATTCGATCCAGTTAATAGTGGCTATTTTCAGTAAACACACAGCATACAAAATAGAGTGCTTTGTTAATTTTTCTTGCAATATTATTGGGCTGGGCATTCAGTGTAGCATTTTACAGTTATATGTTAACTCTACGTTTTGTTCTAGGGTATCATCTTTACGGTTGGCCTACAGAGATCTTGATATTAAAACAAAAGAAGAAAAGTTAAATCTATCTGGCAAGAAGAAGAATGAATTGGAGAGACTTGGCATGGGGTTTGGCAGCAACAGAAGGTACGTGAAGTTCTATACACTGAATTTAAAATACTTAATGGCTTTATATGATTATCCTTCATTTTGCCTGTGAAATGAAGAAAATATACTAAAGTGTGTTATGGAAACTTAAATAATATCCTAAAAGAATCTGGTATTTGTCAGGAAGAAGAGGCAGGATTGCTTCTGATAGATTTAAGTTCTAACCTGCCAGACAGGTGTTAACCTAAATTGTGGGATGTCTGCAGGGTGTTTGCCTCCATTAGCTGACTGTGAGGAAGGTAGTCAGGAAGTTTTCAGTGAACAGTACCAACCTAAGTATAGTCTCTTTTACAAGTCAAAACTCTGAAAAAGTCACATTGCTGTGTTTTGAGTTGTTGAAATGGTCTATGTGTTCAGAAGTCCTATCACTACTTCAGAGAACTACAGTTGAGTTTTCCAGGGTGGTTGTTTTTTCTTTTTAATTCCTCTTTTCTTGTTAAATGTTTGTATAGCTTGGGCTTTATCAGCAAGCTTCAGATTTGGGCTTTCATTTCTTTCTTTTCTAGGGTGTGAGCTTTGTCATCTCTTTACATACTTATTTTCTTCCTGTCCCCAGTGGCATCTCTCACTCAGTCACCTCAGATATGCAAACAATAGAGCAGGAAACACCTGCAATTGCAAGGCCGAAGAAGAAGTACACCGATGATGTAGAACACTCATATTTCTCTTCTAGTTCAAGGTAATGTATAAGCTTTTTATTTTGAGTGGGGGTAGAATTATATGCAAGTTATCTGTTCAAATATACACAATATATTTGAAACTTAAGATAAAAATGGAGGAAAACAGACATGTCTGCACACCTAGCATACTTTCAGGGGACATCTAGATCAGAAAAGTTCTGAAATAGTTGACCTTACCTTGATGACAGATGTATTTATAAAGAAGAGTAGTTACTTTTTCTGAGGAGAAAGTAGTTCAAATTATGTGATTTGTCTTTTTCAGGGTCTAGTCTCTGCTTGCACAGATAGTTGCCTTATAAAATTTAATTTGCTGTATACTGAATCCACTGAATTTTTTCTCAGAATTACTTGTGTTCATTCTTTCTTTTTGTTGTGGTACTGTCTTCAACTTCCAATTTAAATTAAACAAGCATCCACGTCTGATACTAGATGTCCTACAGTTGTATCAGTCTTTCAACTTGACGCGTGCCAAATACAAAGACTTAAATCTTTTTGAGGTATTGTGTGTTGGATGTATTGTGTAGATGTCTGCGGTGTTATTTGATAGCTATTTGAACATAAAAGGTGAGCAAAAAATAATTGATGAATTTTTGATCAGAGCATGAATGCAGTGCAAATTATAAAATACTGCTGTTGGGAAGAAGAAAAAGAGTCAGTCCTACAGGCACTAATTGCAGTCAAACAGCTGTTTCTGCACTGATAGAAAGAAACAGGTGTTGCTTTTGTAAACTGTCTTTATCGGATTGGTGCCACAGAACATGAAAAATTGTACCTAATTTCTTGTAGACAGGCAAATAAAAACACAAAGCCTTTTGTGTCATTGCTTTGTAATGTAATCACTAATGGCAGAAATGCAAATATAGTACCAAGTAAACTGGCAGCAGTCTCATAAAATAAAACATCATTTCAGTGCTTCTCTATTTGTTCCTTGAAAAGAACTGTTACTGCTGTCAAATTATTCATAAGCCTACTAGCAGGCAAAAGATGAATTATGGAAGAGTCTTTTTAGTGTGTTTTGGTTCAATAATTACAAGATAAATTATAACGTAGCTGTTGCCGGCTCTTGTTCTTCTATTTATAGCAATAGTAGAATCTAATTGGAGTTGGTATACAAATTCATTCTCTTTAAGGAAAGTATAAAATCAGATTGTTGGACTTGGTAAGGTTTGTAAGGTGGCTCTTATCCTTTATTCCAAGCTGTGGCTTTGAAATAGAGGTAAAGTAATTTTAATATCATCTTAGTATATGCCCAAAAGCAAAATAATAATGTTGGATATTAGAGTGCCTGTAAGTATCTGTAAATTAAGCTAGCTAAATGTCTTGAGGTTTAGATATATAATTGAGGCATCTCAAAATCCTTGGATTTTAGTTTGTCTGTTTGCTACAATTCATACAGTATTTATTAACATAACTGTAAAATTTTATTTTCTATTAAATGCATTTTTTCCTTTCTCCCTTTGCCCCACCCAAATACTGAAGAAGTATTTCGCAAATTTATGAAAATCTGAAAGGATGGCGAAAATAAGTAGTTTTCTTCAAATCAGCTCTTGTAGCACCTGCCACATCTTATGGTTTTGGTGGCCACTGTGAGATTGGATAGCTTCATGTATGTGTGTGTGTGTGTGTATGTGTGTGTATAGATATAGATATATATATCTATATCTATACACACACACACAGACCTTATTTGTTATTACACATCCATATGGAACTTCTAAAGATTGCCATGACTTCTTCATTAGGTCAACAGGAATAAGAGCCCAGCTACCATACAGACATACAACACAGAAACTGATGAGTCAAGGCAAAAAAAATTACCCTGGTTTTGGAAAGCATGTAGTGCCTTGCCGTATTTCTAAGCTGATGTAAGGGTGAGCGACAGCTGAATGAAGAAATTTGGAATACCATCTACTTTCTGGTGCTGTACCACTCTTGTCTGGGATTTTCTGCTTTCCTTTTATTTATTTTACATGTGATACTGCACTGAAAACAACCTAAGGTCACACAAACAGTGAAAGCAGTGAAAGATTTAATTGGTATAGTGACATGCCCTGAAAAGTAGATTCTGTGATTTTCTTTTCTTTTCAACTGTCATCTATAACTCTTACTTTGGATATTTTACCTGTATTCAAAAAGCATAGGGCGTAAAAAGGTTTTTAGCAGGAAAAAAGACCTTCAGGAGTCTCCTGGGTATAACATCCACTGTGTAGGGTGCTACTGTGAAGGTGAAGATTGCATTGCAGTGAGTCCCCTTTGCTTAGAGCACTAAATGCACTTCCCTTTGTCTGTCAGGAGAGAAGGGGAGAGACTCCTGCTTTTTGTAGAACTTCATTCCAGATCTGTCCCTGCTATTTTGCATGTGCAGAGGTGGGAGGCTTTGCTGCTGAAGGTGTCACGTTTCCCATAAACTACAAAAACAATGTCCTGACTGTTCACAACACAAACACGGAGAATGTTTTGTTGGTGTTTTTTTTTTCTTTAAAGGTGCTTCTCACAAAATACAGATGCACACGTTAATATCCTGTGCTTGTTCTGTTGAATTATTCCATTCTGTTAGCTTCCTGTCATCTTCATCATCTTACTCCCTCTCCTGGTCGTATTCAAACTTTAAGAAAGTTTATTTATCCACAAAAAGAAATTCTTAATCTTTGGCATTTTAGTGTGTGTGTGCAGATTGTTTGTTTGGCAGGTTTTTGTTTGTTTGGCAGTTTTTGTTTGGTGTTTTTTGTTTGTTTGGTGGCTTTTTCCCCTATAAGTTTAGATATGTGGAGATAATCAAAAGGGAAAAGGTCAAGATAAGGTACCACTTATGAAGCACACGTTTTTTTTCAATTTTCTTTGTTTGTGTCTTCTCTGCAGTTTTGATATGCAAGAGAAGATTGTCAAATTAAGACTCACTTTTAAGACTTGTTATGTAGCATTGTATTAATAAAACGTGTTACAATAAAGAGCAGACGTATTTAATACTAATATTTGTATTAAAAATATATGCACAACCAGAGACAAGGGCATCTTTGTTGATGTCTCAAAGAATGGGAACGGATTCTCTGCATGTGTAGCTTATAGATTGCCTTGTATGGAAGAACTGTGAGATTAGCTGCTGTTAGCCCCTTAGTTAGAAGATTTTGCCCCATGTGAAACCACAGTACAGTTGGATGCCATGGCTTAGTAGGGTGCTCTTGGATCTCTGGAGTGTTCAAAGTGCCTTTAAAGTTGTGGCGGCTTTTTTCATAGCTGGTTTCTTAGCCTGGAGTGTCAGGAGCACCAAGACTTTATGAGTAGGCTGCCTTACCTTGGAGGGTCATCATGATGCCTTGCTCACAAGGTTCATCCTGAAGCTTTCTCAGCTTCTGAAGCTCTTAAATCATCGAGGTATCTTGACCATGTTCTGCTTCAGTGCTTTGTCTGACACTGAAGAAGAAATAGTATTTTGAAGTAATGAGAACTTTGCTCTGCTGTTTTTGATGGACCAGATCTTTCAGGCATTCCACTGCATATTCATGACCATCTCCAGCCTAAAGAAAGGCTGAACTTTTCATTTGGTTAAATATGCGTGCAAAAAAAAATTAGATCCATTGGATTCAACTGCGCAAAGCTTCTAACCAATACTATGAAATCCAGATTATTCACTAAAAGTGTACTTGCTGCTGAACACTTCTTAAGGTAATGTTTATTTAACAATATAAAGTTCCTACTTTTCCAATACTTTTTTTTCTTTTCTTTTAGGTACTATGATTCTTCAGATTTGAGGAGCAGTACTTTCTCTAAATGGGATGACACTACAGATTCTTTTTGGAAGAAAGAAAATAACAGTAGAGATGTTGATGTGATGTTAACTTCAAAAAATACAGGATTTTCAGACAGGTATGCAAAGAAAGCCTAACTGATTTTTGTACAACAATCCCAAGCTTGTTAATATGATTTGAGTCCTGATCATAGTATTGGGATTTTTTTTTTTGGTCAAGGGAAAATTTGGCCATAACTTTCAGCAGCAGTCAAGGAACCTCCTGGCTGAATTTTTTTTGTAAGCCGATTTTTTTGTTATTTACATGTTTAAGCACTGTTTTGTTCAGTGCTATAGAGTGTATATATACTGGGGGTAATTTCCAAAGCATTTCAGCAAAAAAGTAAAAAAAAAATGTGGAGAGAAACTCAAATATTTGCACTGTTCTGAGAGCATACTTGCTTTCCTTGCTTTGTTTATTGCCTGATGAACCAAGCAGAACCCAGTTACCAAGTGAATGAAACTGTAGAGTACTTGCCTTTCAGGATGAAGATATTCAAGATACTTGCAAACAACAGGTCTAATTGTTGTGATGATAAAAAATGAATATATTTCTTCTTTGACAGCTGTTATCTTTGTAATCAACTGGAAAATGGAAGAAGGTGGGCTTTTGTGTGCTTGGTTGGTATTTGCTGCTTCTGTATTACCTGTATTTTCATTTACCTGTACAGTGCAGTTTGTGCACTTACGTACAACTTGTTTAAATCCAAGCATATTCTGTTTTTTCCTAAAAACTTGATGCACGTTACAAAACAGGGGTTCATGTCCATAACACTGTTATTTCCTTATTTCAATACATTTATTTTAAAAAAAAGAGAGAGGAGAAAAAAGGCAAGTGTTGAATATGTGTGTTTGAGGTGAAAGGCAGTGACAGTTCCAAGGAAGCTGAATCTTTTTTTACTATTATGTTCAAATCTGAATTTCACTGACATTGTGTTATAGGTTATTTTGAGGTTGTGTAGAAATATTCTGTCTTTGACATTATTTTGGCTTGCTTTTTAAATGAACTCTGAAAATAAAGATACAAGATAAATAAATTTGCAATATGATACTTTCACTATCTTGTAAAACTGTCACTGGAAAGGTACTTGCTGTTTTATCAACTTAGTTATCTGAATTTCTTTATTCTGAGTTTACACTGCTTTAATTTTTATTAAGAAAAAATCACAATTATACTTTCATGCTTCACAAAACAAAGATGATAGTGCTTCTTCTTTGATTCATTCCATTCTGCCATGACAGAAATAAAAGTTACACTCACTGATGCAGTTTCTTGTTTCTTTTAGGCCTACATCTCGTCGTAAGCCTGAATATGAGCCATCTTTAAACACAGATGAGGCACAGAAGAAATTTGGCAATGTAAAAGCAATTTCATCAGACATGTATTTTGGAAGGCAAGATCATGCGGATGTAAGTAGAACGCTGTGATAAAAACTTTTGAATGTTAAAATATTCTTTGAATATTAATATGGTCTTCTTGTATAAAGAGAAGGCAATAAATAGTTAAAATTGGTAGAATTTGTAAGCTTGCAGAATTATGTCCACTTGAACATTTGTTTGACAGAAAGGTCCAAGTCTCTAATAGTTTAGTATTTCATAAGAAGCTGCAGTTGCAAGTAGGACCTTACCTCCAACTTCGTTCCTCTCTCATAGAAGTGGTAGGCTATGATTCAGCGGGCTTTATTTTTGAAAGGATCAGTTTGCTGCTGCTGGGTGAAGGTTTACTTTTTTTTCCTAAGTACCCAAGCTGATGCTAACAAAACATTGTTAAAACAGCTATCCCCTCTGTATTTGTTCCATGGAAACATTATTTCTTTTGTTAGGCTAAGCAAGCAGATAAATGGTTCAACAATTGACGTGTAATTGAATCAGCCTAGGAATAAAAACCAGATTAATCTTATGTTGCATTTTGGAGGCAAGGGATCATTTTAAAAAACCTATTTTTAATGAAAAATTGAAAATGTAAACAGTAATGTAAAAAAAAAGAAGTAATTAATATATTATCGTTCCCAAGGAACTCAGAAAATGTTGAACTAAAAGCATCATGATTTTAGAAGGGTTAACATGATGCTAACTGCAGTGTCTTTTCCTTATTCTACTCAACCACTGCATTTCACATTTTTTAGTTGTTTTTAATGGTTGTTTAGTTCATACTCCTTTGCCTTTCAGCAGTCCCCTTTTTTAGGGTAGCTAACAGTAGGTTTCTTGGTGTCGCAGCAGTAAATGTCATTGATCAGCTCAGAAATGAGTTGAGGTGTTTACAAACTCATGACTCTCTAAGTCATGTGAAAACTACAAAATGGGAACAGCTTTCAGAATCATCAACTTCAGCTGCATTTGTGTGTTTTAAAACTGTCGATGATCTCATGAATTATCTGGCATGACCTCGAAAGATGACAGCATACTGTTAGAAAACTACTTCTTCTCAATTCTTTTCTAGTATGAAGCAAGGGCTCGACTAGAAAGACTTTCTGGAAGCTCCTCTATAAGTTCAGCTGACTTGTTTGAAGATCAGAAAAAACAACCAACAGGTACATACTCAACAGAGTGAGGAACTGTTACCATGCGGCGAATAGGCTCCCATACTGTGCTTCTGGTTACACTATCAGCTGTCATTGTATTCTGCAAGAGGCGTGCAAAGTGCAGTAGGCATTAGTATTGCTAGCAGATCAAACAAGCATAACAGGTGTAGTCATCATTTAAAAAAAAATAATTTATTATATTTAAAGTTCTTTATTTTCAGTTCAGTAAGCTCAATATTTTATACTGCTTTTTTATGTGACTTGTTGCAAGTAACAGACTAAAATATTGTAAATAATTTTAATGTTAGTGGCCTTGAAATTCCCGTGTTAGGTGTTGCACGGCATATCCATTCATCAGGGTATCTGCTTCTAACACCGACCTTGCGAAATTATTAAGGAAACTTTGCAGTCGGTTTGTCTGCTTAAAAGATTTGTTGGAACACCTTACACTGGAGAGTATAGTTCATCAAATTAGAAAGGAAAAAGTATTAGATTAGATTGACTCAAAAGCAACTCCTTAGGCTACTGAAAATCTCTGATATTTTCTTTCCAACACCCTTTTTGGATAGTGCAATAGTGTGAAAGGGAAAAGGTAAGGAATACTGGAAAATTTTGTTGGCCTGATCAGGTTTGGTTTCATTCTGTAACTTGTGAAGAAATGGAAAGAAATTACTTGTAATCTGTGAGTAATTATATAAATAGGCTGCAAAAGCAAACGGAATACAGCATTTGATTTTACTTTGGGCAAGCTGGAAGAAAAAAAAAGCCACGTGACTGTTTAGTTTTGATCCCCTGAAAGCAAGTTTTGAGTATACTGGCTAGTAGAGAAATAACTCATTACCAGTTACAAGCTGGATTTTGGTCAAGTGGTATGTAGCGGGGGAGCAGGGTAGTAGCGGGGAGAGGAGACAAAGCAAAAATCCCAGTAAGTTACTTTAGCCACTTGAAAGAATATTTGCAATGTGATGTCATACTTGTGATTAAAACAAGATCATCAAATATCATACTCTGAATAAGAATACTTAGAGGCAGTTATGTAGTGTTTCCTATGTGTATGTGAGTTATGCACACAAGATTATTCATCACTGACAACTTGGAAAGGTTCTTGGTGCTTGTGGGGGAATGCAGAGGTTCTTAATAATGGGATGAAAAATACCTGCCTGTGAGTTGAGGTTAGTTACTGTGACTGGCATGTAACTCAACAGTAAATTTAGTTATATTACAAAGACTAAACTTCTGCTCAATTTTTGTGGGTTGTTAACTGCTCTAAAATAATAGTGGGGGAAAAAACCACCAGGAATTACTAGTTTGTATATTATAAATTCACACTATACTCAGTCTACAGAATCTTCCCTTCCAGTGTGTTTGTCTGTTATACTCCCCCACCCCAAGATATCTTTTCACAGTGGCCCTTTTTGGAGCAATTTTACTGCACTGATGGCTTGTCTGGTGTTGAGTTAATGCCAAGGCCATCGTTAGTTCCATAAAATAAAAGTAATCGAGAGATCGGTGGCTGGCAACAAAAATGTTCCTGTAATTCTGGGGTCCTTGCCAGGATAAAATGTCCTTTGAATCTAAAGTTGGTTTTATGAGCTGAGATTTTAGGGTAGAACAGTTTTGGGACGCTTGCTTTTGTACAGAATGCTGTAGGAGCAGTTTACCAAAAAGAGGGGGCTGCAAGAAAACGCTTTTACTTTGTGTTATTTCAGACCTGTTGCTTGTGAAAGATGGAATGTCAGATGGCTGACCTGCAGATGCTGATTTAGAAGGAAATCACAAGAGAAAGAGTTGCTTTCCTGTCTCATTTACGAGATGTTTGTCAGACAACCATATGTAACCAGAAAAATATGAGAAAATTCACATGGCTGAGATGTGGTTAGAGCTTTTCTCAGGTTATTTATATCTGCAACTTTTATTTCCGTGACACTGACTTTAATAACAAAAATTCTGAAGCATTTTAAGTGGAACAGATCACAAGGAAGTCAAAATTACAGTTCAGAAATAGGGTTGTCACAGTGACAGTGAATTTTTGGAAATAATCTATAGACAAATGTGGCCATGCATTGTAAAAACAGCTACTATCTGCCTTTAAAGGGTGGAGTGGGAAGCTCTCTGAATGTGACTCTGCATCTGCCACTGCAAAGCAGCCACTTAGCTTAGGTAAATCACATTATCTACCTTAATGTCTGTCTTGGCCTGCTAATGGGGCAGGTGGCTTTAATTTCCAATGAAAAGAGGAGCTGCAGGTGTGCTCTCTCTCTCTCTTTCTCTTCCACCCCTGTTCAAAGAGACAAAATAAAAAAAGGAGAGGAAAGGGCTATGGGTGTGGAGCAATGCTCTGTGTGGAGCTGCTGTCTCGCCAACGGAGGTGCAGGTTGTGCAGGTCTGTGGTTGGATGAGCTTGGCTGAGGTTCAGTAGCTGCTCACGGGTTACCAGTTGTGTCCCAACTGATCACAACTGTCAGTTGGCTATGTGTCTAAATTAAGGCTATGGATTGCAGTCTGTTTTAAAATTTTGGGATGCTTCCTCTCAGGAGCCCCATTTATTCCCGAGATCGTAGGACGGTGATGCTGCTTTACTGCCATTTGTGCCTTTCACAGTGTCAGGTATTTAAGGCGTGCCAGTAATTGTTTTTGTAAATGAATGGGTGGTTATAATTGTTAGCATCTTAATACTTACCATGCAGTTTTGAAACTACTTTCATTTCTTTTATCTTTAGGCCTATACTTTTCATAATAGCAGTGTTAGCAGAGCTAACACTGGCTGAACTATGTTGGCTTTAAGGGACGCTGGGTTGCCAGCTTTGCTTTTGAGTTTTAAAACTTACTTACCTTTACCTTACCTATAATTACAGATTTAGTAATGCAAAATCTGTGTGTTTATACAGCAAGCAAAGCTTACCTATGTGTGCATACAAACAGGGTTCATCACTTCAGCCACCAGTGCATTCATCTTTAAATTGCAAGGTAATAACAGCTGGTTAGGATACAAGACAAAGAGCATTGCAGCAGATTGAAAATGCAAAATAAATAATATATTATCCAAACAGTAATTGCTCAGCTGGGAATACAAAGTGTAGAAGATGACACTTTGAGAGGAATTATGAACAACTGAAAAAAACTAAAAGGAAGATGCACTTAAGAAATTTGAGGTCTATGCCTAGTGTTTTTTACAGTGTCAAGACATTTATATTTAGTGCTTCTAATAGTATGTTTTACTGTAGGTTGGGAAAGAGGCTACTTTTAATATAAAATTCTGTTTTCTTCTTGTGTGTGCCTCCTTTTAGGAAGCTACAATATTACAAATGTCTTACCTTCAGCTCCTGATATAGCTCAGTTTAAACAAGGAGTGAGATCAGTGGCTGGAAAACTTTCTGTACTTGCTAATGGGGTCATGACATCTATACAGGTTAGTAAAAATATTACAATATATTAAACATCAGTTAAAGTCTTTTGGTAGGGATTTCATATCATGGATCCTGCCGCCGAATCATGGGAGTTATTTGATGTCACCTTATTTTTAAAGTAATAATAGTTTTTAACTCAGCATGTAATAGTTCAATTGGAATGGACCTGCAGTGATCATCTAGCTGAGCTCTTGTTGTGGCTCTTTAACTGACTTCAGAGTAAGACCTTTGATCTGTGTCTGTGCACAAAATGAAGACATCCTGGTCTCAATAGTGTAAAGCAAGCTTTGTGCTCCAGTTAGTTTGCATTTCCCATATGAGTGGGAAAGCTCATTGGGAGCTTTTGGGTGTTTGAAAATCAAACTAATTATCCTGGAGTTTAACCATAAACTCCAGTTCTTGGAAGCATTGATCAGTTTTCTTTAAGTCTTTAAGAGTTAAACTACTATTTATTTTACAGATGTAAGTAAAACTAATTTATTTCAGTGGAAAGCATACTCATGTCTTTTTTTTTTTTACTTTTCTAGGATCGATACGGCTCATAACATCTTTTGTATTGACATAATTAAGTACGCTAACGAAGGATTTCTCTTCAGACACACAAGTAATCAGACTGCTGATTCAAATGATGGTTGCCTTAAGACTGTTGATGTTTTCACTTGTTCCACCGTATTTGTTTTCTTGAGGCTGAGCCAGAAAGCTGCACTTCTTACTGTTATTTCATCTTTAGAGAGCACAAATCTTACAGCGACTGCTTACATTGCATATCCTTTTTTTTCCCCTTCCTTTACAGACTTGTATTTCTTAGCAACCTTAATGTTAGATGTGGAAGCTTTGTTTTATTACTGTTTTTGGCTGTGAGGCAGGAAAGAGAAAGAAGGATGAACACATGAAAATGAGGCTTCTTAATAGAAATGTCAGTGCACTTGCATCTTTACTCACCAGACATAACTTGTCTTCTGACTGTTTTACAAGCTGTGGAGAAGAATTTAAATTAAGCATATGCTGAGGTGGTATTTAGTGGACTCTAGCAAAATATAGAATTAAGTTAAACCTGTGCTTATCAAGAAGTAGAAGCTCTTGCAGTCGTAAATTGATGTGCGTTAAAATGATGGAGAATTAGTGTTTTAAAACAATAGTCCTGGTAGAAAATGGTATGCTTAGATGTGAGGTATGGAGAAGACAAGGCACATGGTATACTGATTACTGGGTTTCATCTTGTCATGGGAACAATCTATTTATTCCTAAGTTAGAAAAAATTGCAATACAAAAATCCTTAAGTGCTTTTAAAAATCTGTATTGTGTAAAAGTTTAATAAAAATTAAAATATATAAAGGGCCTAATAGAGTAGTTAATTAAATACTTGTTACAAATGTTTAGAACAATCTTAGCTTTTTATTAAATTATGAAATATTAAATGAGGAAATATAGTGGGGCTGTGTTTTAGACAGTCTAGAATTTATTGTTGATGACATCCTGTGACCTTGGAGAAAAAAAACTCACAACGAAGAATGAGCTCAAGCTAATTCTGTTCTGTAACTTTACTTCTTAATTCAAATTTGTAAACTGCCGATATCTAATAAAAACAATTGAAATAAACTCATTTTTAAATTAAATTTCTATGTGCAGACACCAGTCGCCAGTTTTCCAAATACTGCCATCTGTATTCTGTCTTTACAGTGGTCTGGTAAAAGTAGCCTTTAATTTCAATTAGTTAAACTAGCTTGCTTATTAAATTGCTCTAGTGATTTAGGGGAAAAAACCCAAAAAAAACCAACAACAAAAAGCCACCTAAGGCTAGTGTAGAAAATAAGCTGCTGTATTGAAATACTGTGATCTTTCTTTTTGAGAGTAGAACTATATAAGCATTTGTTCTGCTTAACTGTAGAGCTTTACGATAAAAGAATTGCTTTGTTTTCTGCTTTCCCACTCTATAGAGACGATTTTGCTAATATAACAGAATCACAGAATATTAGGAGTTGG